AAAAGGATAATATGTATTTTTCTCAATAATGTTGTTTACTTTCGATTTTATTGTAGGTGTTTTTGCTCTAAAACCATCACAGTGCAAGTAAAACGCAGGTTTTTACGGTGGACAATTAGGGATATAACGTCCTCTTAAGAGCTTTTGTCGTCTAACGTCATTAACGACTTAACGTCTTCAAAAAATTACTTAACATTTGTAACAATAACAAACAATTATGTCGCCCCGCAACCAAGCCAACAAAGCCATAACGAATACAACAATTTGTATTATTACTTTAATATTTTGTTTTGGTGCGATAAGTTTATAATAATATAAGGCACTTACTTATTTTTTAGTTTAATTTCTTCCAGTTGTTGTATAACGGTGGCGGTGCCGGCGTACAAAACACATTTCGTTTCCTTAATCGTTTCGAAATTCCATAAGGCTAAAATGTAATAATATTAAAAAAAATATATATTAGCTATACACGTATAACATAATATGAATTAACTTTATTAATAATTCAACGCTTTTGCGTAATAACATGCTGTGCCGTGCGGTATTTTCTCATGAATTTATTTGATTATTATTATTACAATTATTTATTATGTACCAATATAATTACATACCCATACACATCCACCAAAAGTGTGTCGGATTAACTCGGTTGTGTTTTTTTATAGGTAGGTTTTTTTTAGCTTTTTTTTACACATACTTTTGCAACTAAAATCACGCTAAATAATATAGACCGTCGTAGATTTTATAATACACGGAACTCCACCAATAACGAAAAGGGTCAGATCTTATCGCGCATTTGGTCATGGCGCACCTTAATCCACCGGTAGCGGTACACATCAGAAATTATCGGTTTACACACTGTATAATGACGTTTTGATTACTGTAATCCCGTCACGACACTCAATCCAAACGCCTACCAATAATATTTTTACCCTTCGAAATTAATGGAAACACATTTTTTTTTTGTTTTTTGGGAATTCTATAAAACCCTGCTTGACAAGTACGTACACATAATTATTTTCTATCGTTATACGCGAACAAAATATTATGTCAAATATAAATAGATCGTTAATTCGGAAAAATTAAAAGAACACCCTTGCACTTGTATGGAAATGTTATATTATTTCATTTGGAGTAAAATCACAAATCACAATCTACGGTATTCCCTATTACAGCTGCATCAAAAAAAAAAAAAAATAAGTAATAACCGATATGTCTACTGTTCGGATGAAAAAAAAAATAAATAACAAATACCTCTTCGTTTTGATCAAAATATGCAAAATCGACTTGGGAGAAACCCTTTTCATTTTTACACATCTGTCTTGCTCGCCGCGCAGCAGCAACAGCTTTGGGCGAAGTGCGAAACACAATATACCCATAAGCTCAGATAGAATCGTCCAATGATTTACGGTCGCGTCCAGGCGACCGTTGAATATAATATGAACAACCACCGTCGATCCGTTTCTTCAGCGTTGTAGCATTCCGCCATTTCCTCCCCCGTAAAAAAAAAAGATAAAAAATCTTACGTTTGTATAAAATTCTGTTTAAAAAACATGTTTTTTATACGCCATGGCGTATGCGAACAATTTGCTCGATGCGTACTCTATACTGTGCACATCCGTTATACAGTCGAGTGTGTATATTATGTTTATGCTGGGCAAATAAAACATGAAGTATTCACAGACTTAGTTCGAACCTAGTGTACTTTAGACGTGTAAGTGTGTTAGTATATTATACCTCGTGTGCATTATTATCTAACCCCAGAGATATTTCTGACACACGAGGTTCCGCGTGCACAATGTTTGTTAGTCGCTGAAATTTTAAACCGAACGTTTTTGTTTTTTTTTTTTTTTTGTGCGCATTTAAAAAATGCACGAACCGAGTGTCCCGTTAAACCGCAACTACCGACCTACCTACCTACCTACCTACCTTTTAGCTTGTATGCTCCCCATCAGCTTCACGTCACGGTGTACAGGATATAGTTATTAAAACGAGAAAATGCGCCCTACGCATGGTATCTGTTGGCACAACTTTCCACACTTTGCCACTTACATTTCGCCCTTATTATTATAATCGAAGCTCGAAAATTCCCCGTCAGCAACGAGCAAACATTTCCGTCCGCCGCTTCTTTCGACCATTTCATGCCTCATTTTCCACCCCTTACACAGCGTAGACTCCCTGGAGAATTCTGCTGATTCTTTAACCTTTTCGACCTCTTGCCGGCCCTTGTCCCTAACCACCACCCCTCGCTGTCACCACTTCCAGCGAAGGGACTAAAAACTGGCCCAACGCACCGTACTGCCAGCGTTATACTAAATAAATTAACTTTTCAATAATTTATTTTTGAAACAATATTTTATTAACAACGTTCGTTGTTGACAAACTCTTTGGTGAAATCGTTAAAGTAGTCTTCTACTCAATAGAATGCGTAATATATATTTTTAATAAAAAAATTTACCACATTTTATACGGTTAATTTTTGTGTTACTATTCGACACTCACCTTACAATTCATTTTGTTTACAACGCTTACAGTATTATATTTTAATATATAATTTAGCATTATTGTTTAATGCTGTATAGTACAAACACGTGTAAGCTCTTAAGCGTGTAAGTGGTAGAAACTTTTTGAAATACATTCTAAGAGTGACTTAAAAGGGTATTTCAAATAGTTTCATTTACACGATTACCCATGTAGACATTATACGAGCAATTGATTTCAATAACGAGAAAGAGGAAAGTTTTATCTCGCTAATGAAAAACTATTACATGTCCCAAAGTCTCAAGTATAACTCTTTTTCTTGAGTTACCAAGCAAGATGGTTAAGAGACAACGATAAAATAAGAAAAATCATTAGGGTTTCTTCACTGGATTTAATTAAAATTAAACAAGGAGCGTTTAAACCAGAAGCAAGATAAGGAAAAGCTAAACAAAATAAATATAAAATCTGATAGATACAGTGACTTATCCGCGTCGGTTTTAAATTATAAAGTGAATACGCAGATCTGTTAAACCTATTAATACTTTAGTAAGAAAACCAATGGAACTTTAAATAAGTAATTATAAAAATAATAACAGTGTTCATCCAATATACTACATTCTTTGCTTTATTTTACACCTATTAAACTGTCTACGAACGCAGTCAGATGATGAAGTCACAGTTTATTTTAACAATATAATTAATAAGTTGATTGTAAGAACATAAAAGTATTTTTTTTTATGTATGTTTTTTGACAAATGTTATGGAAGAAAAAATATCACAATTTTATAAATCATTTAATCAATTGGAATAATTATCTAAGCAATTGTATAAATAATAATATCCGCCTTAATGATTTATATTTTTTACCGTCATAGACATATACATATTGCATAAAATATATTATGTAGCTCGAATTTTCAGAATAATTATTTATTTTATATAAAACGTATTAACGATGAATATTTATGAACGTTCCTTACTTTATTATACAATAGCTATAGTTCTTTGCTTATACGATTTTCGATTTGGTTTACATTGAGATTTTAATAAGATTTTGATCGTATCTTCTAAAACTACATTACAAATTCCCTTTTATAAATAATTTTTATTTCTTAAATGAAAATTTGATTACAAATATTCGTTAAGTAATCGGAAAATATAACCAAGAAATTGCATAAGCTAAAATTGAAAATTGAAAAGTAAATTAATTTTGTTATATAAGACTCGCTATTTTAAGATCAAATTCAAAAAAACCATTAACATTATTCAAGTGATAAAATAGCTATACAACTGCTCCCGGGGAAAACGGTTTGATTTTATAATAAATGAAATATTTTATACTATTTTTGTTTATAAAATTGTGAACTTTCTAAGGACTTATGTATGTATGTAAATATTTAGATTTCAAACAAATTATTGTTTGATAGGGCCATGCCCGACGAATATCTAAAAATATATTTAATAAATAAATTGAAGGAACGACCACCATAACAAATCACAATGGCCAAAACGTTTATTTGTTTTGAATTGCTCACACATAGATTGAATTTACATAGGTAAAATTAAAAAAAAAAATATCAGAAATCAACATTTTTTACTCAAATATATGTCCAAATACATTTTCAATTGATTAGAACTCCTAACATCGTTTCTATATTTTCCAATTTATACTTAATGATGAAATATCACTCATATCTAGTTAGTTCAGTTATCGTTTTCCTATAGATTATAATATTAATTTTCTATATATAATCTTTACATTTATTTTATAATCGTTTACTATTAGAACTCATTATAAATCTAAGATTTCAGTACCAGTAGATTATCCTAACCTAACGAGTTTACCAACTGGTGGTCGGTGGTAGACGGTAGGACAACTCTTGCTCTACTAGACACAAGAGTTGCTATCCTGAGAAAGTGGTTATGGTGTGGGGGTTGTATTGTTTTATTACTAATGGCTCGTAATAATTGTAATGTTTAATATACTTTTAAACTCAAATAACTTAATTTAACTGGATATCGACCAGTCAAAATTATTCTTAATTTAAAAAGATAATAAAATATACACGTTACCATTAAGTTTATTTAAAAATAACTAAAATAGGAGAGAAGTAAAAACAAAAGTTTCAAAACACTACAATTCAATTAACCCTTGTGAAATATTGAGTGGATCACTTTAAATAAATCACCCTGTATACTCCATTAGTGTGCAAAGGGTCCTTCTAGTAAAAACAGATCTTCTGTAAATAGATGCGTCATTACTGTTATGTGGACCATTGTGCCTATTGTTTGTGCTGTATATTCACTCGCCTGATGGTTTTTAAATAAATGCATAACAAAATTTGAATTTATAAAATTTTAAAAACAATTAACTCAAATTTATCGTTTGTTTAAACTTTATTTTACTAGATCATTATGTACAACCAGTGAGTATTGTCGTGGCTTTAACAGTCACAACTCGCATGTCATGAAATATACTATTATAAATATATTATTCAGTTTATCTTTATTTGTTACAGCCCGATGACATCAAAGAAAACGTAACGACTAGTGAGATTACATTCGTGCCAACGACAGATGATAATGGCAAGTCTATCACCTGTAGAGCAGAAAACCCACAAGTGCCGACATTGGTTGCAGAAACTAATTGGGTGCTCAAAGTCGTTTGTAAGTGTCAACTTAAATTATTATTATGCTACCACACAGAATAAAAGTTAACCAACTGTCCTAATTGGTATATTAAATTTATATAATTATTTATCTAATTAGAATAACATTATCTAAACATACAACGCAGTTTTCCATAAGTGTATACTATTTAATTGCGTTTATTCGACTCTTTTACTTGACTCTGCCCCGAAGTTTTGCTATTTTGTGTTTCATTCATTTCATGTTAATAACTCCATTTTACATCGGTTACCATATTCATGATACCTTTGATATATTTTTTATCTATGAGAGAGTTTTAAAATTATATTGTTATATCAAAAGGGCTGATCTTGCTCTCGAGAATAGTGCCGCAATTTTTGAAAATAATGTGAAAGTTACGTAAAATACATTTTTATTTGGAATAAAATTTCTTGTTTTTTTTTTTAAATCCGTCGTTTAAAAGGCAAATAATAATTTATATGTAAAAATATATTTATATACATATGAACTCATACCGACGACAGTACACAAACCTAACTAACATAATTCAGATGGAAAACCGCTGTTCGACAAAATATATTATTAATCTAATAAAAGTCAATATTGAATAGTTCTATTCTAATTAGCGCAGTAGCTTAGTTGCGGGGGAAAATTAGAGAGATAAATATACCTTAGTCATTATCCCATTTCTTATTTTTTAAATATTTACATTTATATAACACTTGCTGGATTTCCTGATTTGCTGGTTATCGCTGCATAACAAGTGTTTGGTTTCGGAACACACCCAATCAAGAAACAAAACCGGATTAAGTTATTGATTAAAAGGCGAAGGTTATTAGATAGCTAGATAAACTAAATTAGCTCAGCGTGACATACGTTTTAAATCTGTTTAAAAAAATCCATTTTAGTAGTAATAATTATATTAACAGCACACGTTTTTGGATTATAAAAATATGAAACATTTTCACACGTTCGATACATGGCCAAATGGAGTATTTTTGTTTATATTATAATACAAGTATTGCATTTTTGACAAAATCATTCCAAAGGATAATTTAGGTAAATGCTAAAGCAAACAATGGTGAACTATTGAAGCGAAATAAAACGATGACAAAAAACATCACTAATCACATTTCAACGCCATAAAAACTGTTGAACTGTAACGCCCTATAATACGCTTTTAACAGCGAAGATAATTCGCATTAATAGTAATTTGATTTTTCTTTACGTTTTATTTCGTACTTATAGTTTTTTAAAAAAAAAAATATATATATACAGGTTAATTCTTGAATTTTTTTACCTATAATAATAATATCATAATACGTAGTTGAACTCTTTTTTTCAATAAAAATCAAAAAGGACTTTTGATAACTAGAAAATAATAATATGTATACCGATTAAATTAATACAATTAAACAATTTTTTTCAGTTGCTCCCATTGTTTCCCTCCGACTTGGTAACTCTATCAACCCAAATGGCATAAAAGAAGGAGATGACGTGTACTTTGATTGCCAAGTAAAAGCCAATCCACCATCGACAAAGCTCACGTGGTACCGAAATGTAAGTACTCATTTCAAAATACATATTTGGATGATGAGTGTGTGTAAACAATTGGCATACGGCACAGGTTATATTAGAGTCAGTATACATTGTATACCCCGCCTATCGTTCTATTAATTATGCAGAGGATATAATATAGCTTTTTTTAAATAAAAAATTGTTGGAAAAATATTATGTTCATAACTTATTTGATTAAAGAATAATAAATAATCATTCTACTCTAACATAAACAAAAATAAAAATACATATAATATGAATTTTTATTTTATAATATTTAATTAATATATTATATTATTTACATGAAAGTGTGTTTCAAAAGAATACTTGCAAATTATTTGAAAAATATTATGTTTAAAAGTTATTCAGATATATTTTACTTGAATGTGTTACCTAGATGACTGTTTAAATAAGGGTTAATTCGAATAATGCACAGTGCGCACATAATATGTGTATAATGTGTGTGCATTCTTTGTCCATGGTCTAAGTACCCCATTATAAAATGTTGACCTATGTATTACATGTTTTTCGTAAAATCGATTTTTGAGTCAAATGACAAAAATACTAATAAGTAATCATCTTATATTTTTTTGCAAGGAGACTCATTCCTTTCGAGTTCTCAAAATCCTCATAATATAATCGTATTATAAAAATATATCAATGTCCATTTAAGCGATAAAATAGAAGTTATTCTATTTAATTTATACGCAGCGAATAAATCTTGATGTCAAGAAAAAATGGAAAAAAATTTATGTTTCCGCCCGGGATCGAACCGGGGACCTTGTGCGTGTGAAGCACACGTGATAACCACTACACTACGGAAACGAACTGTCTATAATGTAAGATTTTATATTATTTAAGCCAAAGCACCTGTAATACTAATAGGTAATCCAAAATAAACAATTATGGGATATTAATATTAACATTTTGGAAACCCTTTAGAAATAATAATAGAATTCAAATAAACCACTGTTAAGTTTTATAATTAGGTATGATTATTCGTTAGTAATCGGATACAACAAACAAGATAACTACGTGAATTTATGTTTTCCAACTCTAATATTGGAGTATTGGACATAATATTACACTTAATATTTTTTTTACTTGATCATAGATTAAACTATTTAAGTTAAATACCTACCTAGTTCAGGCCCTGATTTAATCATTTTAAGCCATAAGGCGAAATATCTTTGGGGGCTTTATTAATTATTATTATTATTATATTACTATTATAGGTAATGTACCTACCTATGTTATAACTATCAAAATTACAAATTTGAATTGTATATTATATGACCCTGCTACCTATATTATTGATGTTTCATACGCATAGCCCATAGGAATGCACTTGGTATTCATAATATTATATTGTTATTCATATTTGGCCAGAATATAATATATGTATTCATTTAACAGCGTTGTGTAGGTAATCTGCTTAAAGTTGCTATAATTCACCGTGCATAATAATTAGATCATAATATTATAAATATCTTATAGGCAAATGAATTTAAGAGATAATTTGATATAGTTCAAAGAAACGTCAAATAATAGCAAAGCTTAACCGCCGCATTTAGAGAATTAATTGTTTCACTAATGGTATAATTTTAATTTGATAGGTAAACGGTTCGTATGTATCTGTAGATGGTAGAAATATAAAAAACCGACTATTTTTTTTTATAAAAATGTGTAGCGTGCCGTAATTTTATGTTGAAAAATAATATGTAAATACCTTTAGTGTTTTTCACGATTTGAAAGAGGAATGGGTGAATTTTTAAAGTTTCTGACTTCTAAAGGATCTTTCTGGTACATTTTTTATACCATTTATATTAAATAAATAAACTTTCAGAGACTTTGATGTCAAGCAACAATAATTTTGATATACTAAAAAAATATTCTGTTTTCATCGTACATACATTTTTGTTGATTTTATAAAGGGTTTTCTACAAAATAATAACAAGGTTGAAAACTAACTTTATTTAGTTTCTCGAAATTTATATATTATAACAAAATAATTTGTCAAAAACCCCTACAACAAAAACTTTTTCAATAACATCAACATCAATATATAACACAACCTCTAGGCTATATAATATATATGAAATATTGGACAATAATATAGTGAATAAAACTGAAACTCATAATATGCAGTTCTGTATTGACTGAATCCATAATGCCAATGCCCCCTGCCATAAAAGAAAATCGGATTTTTTTCTCAACTCTTTTCGAGTTTCATATCAAGTTTTGCTATTAAATAATTGTTTGACTACTTTACACCTTTAAGCCATTCTACGAGCAACTTAAACAAATATTCCAAACACGTTTTCCCTCGGGCAATTTAAAGATAACTCTTGACGGGGTAACGAAGGCGTTTTACTTGGTAATAAGTCGGTACCTTTTGTTATTGTTACTGGGTTATTATTGTTTTCTAAACAAGTAGTTACATACTTGTTGTAGTTGGGGTGTTTGCTGCGCTCTTATGCCGGTGATTTCAAAAGCAATTTGACAGACAAACTTTCATCGCCTAAAATTATACAGTGCAAGATCATTATTATTATTATAATTATTATTGTTATGCAGCCCGAGTGCAAAATTTTGTAAGGTCTAAAGCGACGATACTTATATCTAGATGGCATAAGATTTGCAGTTCGTTGTATCCGTTCACACGATGTACATTTTAATGAACGGCAAACCTTTGTTATTATGCAAATTAAAATAATTGTCTTTAAATCATACAACAAAAGGATTTGTTTTTTTATTTCAGGGAATGACGTTAAACTTAAACTCGTCCACTAGAACTATGAAAAGCGATAACAACTTAGTGCTACAGAAAGTAACGAGAAACGTGGCCGGAAGGTATGCTTGTCGGGCGACAAATTCTGAAGGCGAATCATTCAGCAACGAACTCAGCCTCCGTATTAAATGTAAGTTCTACTGTTAAACTCAAAATCGAGACATCAAATTAAATTCCGTCCATTTAAGTAGTCGTCACTCGCAGTAATCAAATTTTTATTAAAAATACCCAACGTTTCAGACATCACACGAAGAATTGTGTTTATTTAATTACCTACGTATTTTAAACGTTACTAAATCCTTACAAAATCCTCGAAATCTTTTTATAAATCAATTTTAAAGGGAACCGTACTAATCAATTTTTGGAGCAAAATAATAGGTTTGTACATAAAATCTCATAATGGGCGTAAAGACATTAATAATAAAGCGCTTGAGTAATTATAAATTTAACTATGTTTTGTAGGAAACAAAAAGTCCATACATTTATTCTTTTCTCATTTGTATACATTTTTTTTAGTAATTATTTTTTCACGGTAGATATCAACAAAACATAGTTAAACTTATCTTTAACATTAATTGTTGTAAAATCTACTCAGGTAGTGCGGCCAATAGTTTTATAGAAAAAACATTTAATTCCCCCTATAGAAGTAGTGTGAAGGTATGACAAAAGAAAGAATAACTACCAACACAAAATTCTCGTAACTGTAAAAATATGCTATAGTTTCGCTCTAAATTAGGATAGTTCTCTGTTTAAACAATACAATTTGAAGAAAAAAAAACATAATTTTGTTAAATGTTATAGTAATACAAAATAAACAAAAAATATATTAACATTTGAGCATCTATTTTAAGATTAAGCTAATATAGTATGTAAGCAAATATCAATAAAGCTTAGTGGATTTTCCTATAATTTTGGTTATATATGTAAGGTGTCCCACAAAGACCTGTAAAACAGTTAAGAGTACTACAAACCGTGGGGTTTTTAGCGCAAATGAGTATAAATTAATTTAAAAAAAAAATCTCAAAAATATACATTAGAACAAAAGTTATATCATTTGTCAGGTCTTTGTGGGACACTCTGTATTAAATTATATTATAAATATATGAAAGTGTATTAAAAAAAAATACTTAAAAATTGCGCTTGCAAATTATTTGAAAAATATTATGTTTGAAAGTCATTCAAGTATATTTGACTTGAATAATGTGTTATCAAGATGATTATTTAAATAAGGGTTTGTTCGAATAATACACACATATGTGTGAATATGTGAGTTAAATGTCATAAATACTAATTTGTAATCGTCTTATATTTTCCTGCAAGGAGATATTACATTAGAATTCTTAAAATCCTCATAATGTAATCGTATTATTATATAATAATATATCAATGACCACTTTAGTGATAAAATAGAAATTATTCTTTTTAATTTGTACACAGCGAATAAATCTTAATGCTAAGAAAAAAAATTAAAAAATTTAATGTTTCCGCCCGGGATCGAACCGGGGACCTTGTGCGTGTGAAGCACACGTGATAACCACTACACTACGGAAACGACTTGTCCTCGGAGTAAAATTTCTTATCATTTGTGTGGTCTTTGTGGGACACCTTGTATATATAACATAATATATACATCCGATTTTTACAAACTTTAAATTGTTGATAATTTCGTGAAATACAAAATAATTGAACGAGGTAAAACCAGGATTATGACTATGACTAATAGTTTAGACCACGACAGAGGTGTGTGCGTTATTCGGTTGTTTATTTTTGGTAAACCCACCCTTGCCGGAACTGGTCGATAAATGAATCTTTATCACTCGAAAACCTCTGAAACTAAATACAAATTATTTTCAACTCGTTCTACTTGAGTTATTATTTCCCTGACAAAATGTATGCACGCACACAGACTTCGTGTCCGCTGTTGCCGTAAAGCAAACCAACACGGCGAGGTTTCTGCGATTTCGTCCTTGCGCCTTCCCTTCTCCCAAAATGGTTGTAGTTCCGGTCATACCGACGTTTCGTCCCCTAACTACCGGACCCATCACATTTCCTTTATTGTTTCGATAAATAAAAACATTAAAAAATATCCTGTTTCCTCGACAGTGCGCCTCTATAGATATATCATATTAAAATCGCAAACGATAAAAATTACAACCATGAATTGTTGTTTGTTATTGCTGAATGTATATATTTACTTTGGCGATATTTATAAAATGAAATATTATATTATTATTATGTTTGCGCTCACCCGGTGAAATATGTCTACCGTTTTTTTAATTTTTTGTTTGCGAATCCTTCCAGTCTACAAAATAATAATGAAAATAATTCGACGGATAAACTAACAAACGCGATAACGTACGATTGATCGATTTAAAGAAATATCAAGTCAAAAGTTCTACGAAAAGCAGAAACCCGTAATATATTTTTTTACCTGATGCAAAATGCTTACAAAACACATGATAGATAAGTTGAAACGTTTTAACAGTATACAAACGCTACTCGTTCACTGTCGGGCTGTGCTTCACCAATTCAAATTAAGCGATTTGCGACAAAGGGTCGGTGTGTTGAAACAAATTAAAAGTACGATAATATGATTACTACAATGGATCCACATAATAATACAATATGTTTACCACCGTATATACTAAAACCTGTTTCCGTACATTTGTTTATCTTTATTATTATACCGCATTGCCGAAAAGTACTTCCCCCCCCCCCAACTCACTGACGAGTTTGAATAGAATTAATTTTCCTTGCCACTCATATATATTGTAATATAATAGTAGTAAGTACGTGTCATTGTTTATACGATTGTGTTATCCTGCGATTGTGTATACCTGCGATTAAATGCGATTGTACAAACCGATTGGCGCTGAAGGCGTTGCTATAAAATCGTATACCTACCCTCAGTCGCTCGCACACAACACACAACCAACCGGAGCTGATATTCGTTTAATTAAATGTAGTCGGTGCAAACTACAAACAGCAATAATATACACAATGTCCACGCAAAACTTCATGTATTACACAACGTTGGTTTTTCGGATGAGGATAAATTTGGCCCTTGGGATTCGTGAGAAAATACGACCGAATCAGAGTAAAACAAAAATGTAGACCGGGATGGGGAAAATCGCAGCCGTGGTTCTTGCACAAAGCCACATTAATATGTGGGTACCTGAGGCTCTTCCAATAACACATTAACGCGCATTTCGGTACGGCCATGTCAAATAATCTATCGTCATTTCGGTCACGGAGGATTTAACCTAGAACCGAGAATAACCCATCCATCAATTAACGCCGACATTTCTGTTGTTGCCCAATAATTGTGGTGAAGCTACCGCAGTAGTTGTGCACGTCCGTGGGATTGGTTACGAACACGGTTAGGTATTAAATAATTTCCAGTAACCCGTGCTCATTTGGTGTAGACTGTAGAGTGTCTAGGTAAATGGCAGTACAAGTCCGTCCACGCATGCACACATGCTTAAGACAAATCATTACCGAAGAAATAATAATATGCGAGTCCACCTGGAATAACTTAGGAGAAATGGAAAAAGCTTTATATATATAGTCATTTTAAATACTATGCCAACTTATTCAAGGGTATATGAAAAATATAATACTCATATACCTTTAATAGTTAGTTTACCTGAGTTAAGGTGAATGTTTGATTAAAAACTGAATATTGTAAAACACTTTTTGGCGTCACAATTGAGCGCATGCCATTTTTCTTATGAATACCTTACAACTTTTTCTATGGGAGCTAAAATGCCGATTTTTTAATTGTTTATTAGAAAATTAGTTAGATTAATTAGAAAACCATAAAAAAATAACAAAACTTAAATAACAAAGTTTTAAATCGGCCTATTAGCCCCCCACAGAGAAACCGTTAAGCTTTATGACAAAGACAAATCTTGGAAAATGAGTTAGCGTTTTAAAAACATTTGTAATATAATATATTAAGGGGGCTTAATGTGAAAACGCAATTTAATAAAATAGTAACAAATTGATTGATAATAATTATAATGACAATTAGTAAATAATTAAATTTAGTGTAAAGATAAAACAAAGCGGGGCGTTCTCGACACAGTCAAATAGATATTTATGTACTTCATCTTTTTACACTTTACAGTATATTCTTAAACCAACCTCGAGTCGTTGCCTATTTCTATAACGCTCACTTGAAATAGTATACCTTTATTTTTAATAATTTACAGTAAAACTGCACTAAAAAAGTATAAGCAGCAACAGATATCGGTTTACAAGTTTAAAATCAATGTTTCTTTTAAAACATACTGTATTCTAGTGTTGGGCTTAATTTATTACCTTATGATTAAATAATTAATCAAATTAGAATATATATAGTATAGACATAATACGTAAATTGAATCTGTTATTATTTGAGATAAAACAAATTTATTTCAATAATAGTTAAATATTTTATCGCTAGTTAAAAAAAAAAAAAATTACTACATTATTACACTATATTGTTACACTATTACACTACATTAATATAATATTATGATTTATGAGTACCAAATTCATTGATTATTAACCGTAATTATTAATCAGATTACAATTTGCCCGCACTACTAAATTATTTGCGGATAGTATATAATATAATATATTTCAATGACCTATAGACCAATTTATTTTATTGATTATATTATGGCAAAATATATTTTGAATACTAAGCCCAAGAGTTTCCACGTGTTGTATACCAATAGGGCCTGGTGAATTAATTGTAAACGGTTTTTGTACATGTTGGTAAATGGTATTCCGTATTACAATGTAATAAGTGAACGTTATGAATGTAAATACTTTGAAGTTATTGCATATTTTTAATTACAAAATTTGAATTTGCACTAACCCCAGAAATTTACATTCATCTTTAATTCCGAGAAAAATATGAATACAATGTATAAATAAATATATGTTATGACATAACATTTTTTTAAATAAGATGTCTGACGGTTTATTCACAAATACAAGTTTGGAGCACTACTACATAATCTCAATGATGCCTTTAACAATATATTTCATGACAAAAAATCTACCGTTTACTTAATATAATTTTAAAATTTTATGACGTTAGTTTTGTTTTCAATTTCCTCTGTTCTCGTTTACCTCATTCAACCGTAATGTATTCGATGGGGAAAAAAATAATGTTTATCCATTGTTTTTTCAATAGATGCTCCTGGATGCCGGACCGATCGTGTGCTTATGTTGGGAGCTTCGCGTGGAGAAAGCATGGATGTATTGTGCGAAGTCGACGCCGATCCTCCGGCTAAAGGATTCAGGTGGAAATTCAACAATTCCGGTGAAACCATCGAAATCGGCCCAGAGCGTTTCATATTTAACGGCACCTCTAGTGTGCTAAGATACACACCGGTAGCCGATCTGGACTACGGTACATTATCCTGCTGGGCCGAGAACGGTGTTGGACATCAAGCCGTGCCGTGTCTATTTCAGATGGTAGCAGCAGGTAAATTTGGCGCAATTTATTTTAAATTAGTATAGAGTTATTTCTTCCCCGCATTCATTCAACTCGACATTCTCATCCTCGAATATTAATTTTATATAATTTTAAAACATTTTTAGTCGATTATAAGTGGTATATAACTATTGTCAGTAAAAGTATTGTTTTATTTTGATCATATGTGTACATATATAAATATATATATAGTTGAATCAGAAAAAAGACACGTTCTCTACAGCTTCCTTACGTGTATAGTTTAATGTAGTCGGGAAATATCCCTTCTCTGCTGAAATAGTGTACCTAGTATTTTATGAAGCAAAACTCGAGTAGTATTAATTAGGCACATATTAAAAAGCAAACACTATTAAATAGAAAAATAACTACACGAGTATTTAGTAAAAAAAAAATACTTTCCTTGGATACCGATTATAGCTATCGAACGATTGAGAACGGCATTTTTAGTGTTACTATTGAGAACGCTCGATAGATTTAATTTTTTTCCATCGTTGCCATATTAACAATTGCTATCGAACGGTTGAACACGATAATTTGTTGATATTTATCAACAAATACACAATAATATAGAATTGAACGAAAATTTAATTGTTAGATGTTATTAGATAATATCCTAGGTAATTTTCGTATTAAATTAATACGCAATATAAATTAATAATTACAATTCATAACATTCTAGAGCTACTATCGCCACTTAAAGCTTCCACGTAACATTTAATAGTCAATTTTATAGCCCTCATCCTGCTATGTAAATTAAAGTTCTAATCGAAACTCAGTCAGAAACGGGTTTGAAAGTAGCTACAGTAGAACTGGATAAAAAAAAATGTCAATAAAAGAAAGAGAAAAAATACTAGATATTAATAATAAATATAAGTGGGATGTGGAAATAAAAATTCGGTTAATTTATTAAAATATTTGAAGTATGTTGGCTTACGATATCCAGGTATTGATATATATTATATAAGACAAAAACTATTTTTATGAACTATTTTAAACAATACTTTTTCATGATTTTAAGACAAATACAATACATTTAAACTTAATTAATACAAATACAGCTTTAACAATTGCATTTACTCAGTGTCTCGTTTTTTTATACTATTATATTTGTAATTAAACTTATGACTATGATAAGAATATTTTTATCACATTTATACACATTAATTGTTAATGACCAAAAAAATAAAACATGCTGATTCATACTTATTAAATTTTGGTATAATTATTATAACTTGTGAATATTTTAATATATTAATATTTTAATTACATACAATGTGCTGAATCGTTCGATAGCCAAATAAACGATATGGCATCGTTGCACGTAAATTCGTTCTCAACCTTATTGGTTTTGCGGGCCAGCGGTAAGTTCTTTGTGAATTTTAAGTGGTCTCAAGCGTTTCGCCAAAAAGGTAAAACGTTCTCAATCGTATTTTACCGCCGATTATCACTTATCGCAAATATACAAATAGAAAGCGATATTTACACAAATATTATATAAAATAACTTCAGCCCATATGTATTAATTTTCAAAGTACATAAAAACCTATAGGTATGAAAACCTTTTTTTCGATTTCTTCTAATAAATTATGAATTTTTATCGTTAAAGGTAAACCGCAGTCGGTGCACAACTGTACTGTCCGCAACAACACGGAGGGTGCGGTCGATGTTCAGTGCGAACCCGGCTATGACGGAGGTTTAACTCAATCTTTCGTACTAGAAGTGTATTCTGAAGCCATGAACAGCAACGAAGATGGAGAAACGTTGTTTAAAAATTTCACCAACAAAAAGGCACCGCGTTTCTCATTGGGTAAAGTACCTTTGGGCATCTTGTACACTGCTCGCGTGTACGCCGTCAATACAAAAGGAAAATCTACTCCTATCACATTGCCCAGATTCTCATTCCCGAGCTCTGAAAATCAAATGGGTAAGTACAGTAGTAAATGCGCTATTCGACAATAAGAAAAACAACAGAATATAATGTATAATCGAGCCCATTTTGTTATTATCGTATTTGTATTATTACGTTCAAATAAATGTGTAGATCATGTTTAAAAATTAATAAAAAGTTTAGTTCTAGTTAAATAAACACAGATTCCTGTAAATTTTGTTTTTTTAACAATGGTTGTAGTGTATAAGGTTTGAGAGACATGAGTTTGTTTCTTCAATACACAGTCATTAAATAATTCAAAGTTTAGCGAACGTAAAGGTCAACGTAATTTAAATATATAAAAGGTGTTACAACCCCAATGGTATAAGAGGGCAGTCGTACAAAGCGTATTTTTATGTGGCTGTGAAAATCGACCCAAGGTTTAATTGAAACTCTCAAGATGCTGACACAAAGAAGTCATATTATATGACTTTCGTTTCTTTTGTGACTTCTTCAACCATACTTACCTCGGCCGTAGAGATTTTCTATAGGCTATAACGAGAAAAGATATGAACAAAATAAAAAAAAAATGATCCGGGAGTTGGTTTAAATAATATAGACTTATGCGCCAAAAGCTCTAATCTTTCAAAACCAGAACTTTAAAAACTAACGTAGGTATTCATTTAACTTTTTAATAGAAATAAATTTTTTTTTTTTTGTGAAAACTCAATTACCTCTATAATTGGGTTCTAACCTCAACTAACAAGTATCCCAACTACTTGGCGAATTGAAGAAATTATAGCTCTTATATGGTGCATCTACAACTCATCAATGACTTGAACTTCTATATTATATTTATTGAAATTTAATCGAATATTTAAACCATTTAATATCATTTATTGGATTACAATAATTCAAACTATGAAGCTTCAATAATTTTTATGGTAAATAGCGTAAAAATGGCTATAGTAAATGAAAACATAAAGTTAATTAAAAAATGAGCGATAGCGTTTGGTAAAGTGACAATTACACTAAAATTAACACTCAAAACTTAAAAGTACATCCTTTCAGTCGGTCAAATTTATATTTTTATTTTGAATTTACTGTTATATTGAATTTTGCTGTATCCCATACAACGGGTTGAATTCAACTGTTTTTAACTTCGTTGTTTAGTTGAATTTGATTTCAAAAACTTTTTCCAAAAGCTAAATATCAGTCATTTGATTTTTAAAAAACTCTAATACATTTTGACATTATTAAAAATGGAAACAAAACATGTCTTGATTGGTTTTTCGTGTAAGATATAAATTATGCTCATAATTCTAAAATTTATTGTCAAGTCTACTCAAAATAACACAATTAATAAAGCTCTTGAATTTCTATTATTAAGAGATATTTTTATTATTGTTTAGCTTCAAGTTTAAAACTTACTATTGAACTTTTTTTTATTATATATATATATATATATATATTTATATTTAATCAATGGCTATGTCAAAAACTAGTTATCAAGAGTGAAATAAAATCAAAAAATGCTGTCCTAATAAAATAACTTGAACTAATAATATGAGTCGTATAACGCACGGGAGTCTCTTAAAATATTAAGAATCAAGTTGCAAAATGATTTAAAGAAAATCCGATTTGGAGTAATATGAAATGATGTAATAAAAATTTCACTTCAATGGTGTTAACGTATCGTTAACCAACTTATAATACTCACTTATCATTTTGAAGATTTGTTTTGTAAAACTAAAGATTCGCTTCCTAACCGAAGCAGTTGTGTATGCTGTACTTTTGGAAGATATTTAATATATTATTTAAAACACGGTAAATATTAAATGAAATACGACACTGTGTTCACACAGTGCTTGGAACTTTTGCAAAGCTTATTATTCATAATTAAATTCGATCCCGTTGAGTTTCTCAAGGAGCCATAAAATTCGGTCTTGCCACGCTCATCCACTCCCCGTCACATCTGACAAACTCTCATGATTTTAATTGCAATCTGGTGTCACATATTATATAGAAGGTGTACGTGGGTACGCCTTGAATTCGTTAACGAAATAAACGTTAATTAGCTATAGCAGAACATGATTAAGTGAAATAATATACATAAGAATGAATATCAAAATAAGTTTCCTGGTTATCGAATTTCCTAAGAACAAGAAAATGTAATGTTCATAAAGTGCATGAATTAATCATTCTATATTATAACCACTTATACTTAGTTCCTTAATGGTAATTTTACCTAACTCGGTAATTAATTAATAGAATAATAGTCTATTAACCGCAGTACATTCGCCAAGATTTCGTGTTCACTGACTGGTTTTAATAATAATTTCGATATAACTATTCTATATATGGAATAAATTGTGATAACTTCCCAAACAAATATCTGTAAAAAAATATACAGACGTTATAAACCGTGTACAAAAAAAAAGAGAAGACACGATCATGATGAACAATAATATTTTTATTTTATTTCAGGATTTGGTGTTGAAGTGTTGAAAGTATCGCCCGTGATGATAACTACAGTAAGCGTTTGCTTGCTGATAATTGTGTTGACGATTATCATAATTATCCGAATAAAAAGATCCAACAATAGGAAACGGTCATCTAGACAATTGACTGGCGGCAAACAAGTTATCGTCCACCGAAGGAACAATGGACAAGTGGCCTCCGCTATACTGGAATCTGATATGGACCCAGATTTAATTCCCGTTAAATACGGTAAATATCTATTAGATTACGTTTTTTTTTTTAACTTACAAAATTAAAAAAATTAAAATATATAAAAAATATTTACTAAGATACATTAACCTATGAACCTTTTAATTTTACAGATCCGTTGGACACTCTAAGTACGTGCAATGGAAGCGTTCTCTTAAACGATACTAGAAACTCTTCCCTACAGAATTGGATCACCTCGCAAAACGCTATTCAAAACGAAAATGTGGTTAGTATTGAGCGATACATATTCTGAGAAGATATGAAGGGCACAGGGGAAAAACGGTAGTTGTCACAATATGAAAATTTTAGAGTATAGCAAAAACAAACATAGTGAATTCCTCTACCTCTTACATAAGAACATAAAAATCACATTAAATGCTACTCTAACAATAAATGTATTTATTTAAACAATCTATTGACATAAATAAAAAAAATTATTGGCATAAATTGAAAAAAACTATTTGAAAAAAAAAATTTCATAATGTGACAACTACCGTTTTTCCCCTGTGCCCTTCATATTATTAACGCTGTTAATTAAGGCCACTGGCCAATACCAATCAGTAGTGTTAAGTAGAAACGGCATTATGAAATTTTACATTTAAGAGTTAAGATATACATTTTTTGATATAATTTGAGTGTATAGTTACTACCAGAGCTGGGAATTATTCGATTTAAATTTTTATGATATATCAATTATTCGAATTATGTTATTTGAAAATTATCTAAAAAAATATTATTACTTTATTTCAATCAATACGTTATTCAATTTGTTTTGGTTACCTATTTATTTATATTTTGCCCACTTCTGGTTGCTAAGACATTAATACTAACTTTATACACAATATTATTTTCATGAAAAAAATTGTTTCTTTACACGTAATATCAATAAAAATACTTAATAGCTAAACAAATAAATAAATGCATCGCTTATGCAGTTAAGACAAACCTATTATATGTTTTAACTATAGGTGTTAATAACTTTAGGAAAAAAATAGTACTGATTTGATAAGAGAAACCGATTGAAATGATCGTTGCTTGCGCCTAATTAAATTCCATACCTTAGTTAATAGTGTGTTAAATTATTATTTTTTCCAGGTTCACCAACACCCAGCAGAACTGAACGGAGCTGCCATTAAAGAAAAACTAATGATGTCTAGCAGTCATATACCAGAAAGTTGCGTGTGAGAGATCTCTATCCAAAATATCATATACCTAATAATCGATGTAAATCATGTATGTAAAAAAAAAATAAGTAAATTAATCGTGTATGCTTTGGGGACACTTAAAATAATAATAGGGTCGAATACATCTTGTTTACGATGAAAATTATCGATAATAGTATGTCCAAAACAAATACACTTATATCATATACATTATTCGCTTAAATCAATATTTAGCTTTAGAAAAAAATTCACCACTAATGTAGTCAATCCAATATATATATATATATATATATATATATATATATATATATATATATATATAATGTACATATACATATATGTATATGTAATTGAACTTAATGCATAATCGCTTTGTTTCCCACAACCATAGTCATGAAATTATTGTTGTAATTATTATTATCATTATCATTATTATGTCAAATGTGCATGACGTCCCCCAAACATATCTCTATTATCGTTCCTTGTTGTTCTTAAGGTAAATTTGTGTACATAATAATGTTTTAAATCATAATAATGTAAATTATAATAGCGTAATCGAGTTTATGTATAAACTAATTTGTACATTTAAACGTTACCTTTTACCCTTCTGTGTTATGTTTAATTAAGTAAGTTTATTATACAATAATATTATAATGTTGTTATTTCAATTTTAATAAAAACAAAAATACTTTGAAAATTGTTGTTAGTTTGTGTTGAACGAGTAGATGTTTACCAACCATTCCACGCGTCTTAGCTAAAAGGCTAAAGACATGTATTCAAAACAAGGTGTTTAGGACGTAAAAGTAAATCAACTGTGGTGTTAGGAATGTTGATATTGATTTGTTCGAAAAATGTATGTTCGAATAGATAATGTGATAAATAGTGGGAACATTAAAAATAGTTATAACGTTAAAATCTAAAGTTGACGGTTCGATATAACAATTTTTTGGTTATTTTGTCATTTTACCATTTTTAGTGACTTGTAACGAAACAATAGGTAGTAGAAAACTAGTCTTGGAATACGAGTTTTGGAGGATCACGCGTCTTAGAAGAATCTATCTTTCTTAGTAGGACAATAAAATATTCCCAAATAAATCCCGGCCCGTAGTCTACAACAAAGTGTAATCGGGCAGAATTTTTTTTTTCCTAGAAAATATGACATTTCTACCGCACTGTATTCGATCACATGACCCTTTACTCCCATTCTCCAACCGTGTGTGCGTTTCACGGTCGACGTTTGATCCACAATAGTATCATCGACGACTGTATAGTTGTTGCGTGCTATTAGTTTTTCAAAAGCTGACATTTTTTTTTGCGGCCCTCGAGTAGGTACCCTAAAAGAAAACAACCCACGGCCAAGGTTTAAGAAAACGGTTTTCGCAAACGGTGAACACTACAACGACAACGACGAGAATTAATGGACAGTTGCCACCGCCGGCCGCCCCTTCGCGAAACGTCTCCTCTTTGCCCTAATAAGAAAAGTGGGGAACGACGACGGGAAGAGTAAAATAAAAGGAGGAATACCTTGTACACAATTTGTCTTTTAACGTCCACCGATGACAGGCGGCCGTTGGTGATTAAATACGATGGCTGTACAAGCGGCAAACCCAAAAAGCACGCCGATGACGATTTGCTCGTTTCAGCCGCTGAATGGGGTTCTTTCTTTACTGCTAAGAGCAAAACAAATACCACCGTCGTTTCGTTAATATCATCTTGCAGACACACATAACACGTTTGGAAAAAAAATGGAAAAGTCGAACGTCATATTTTTACCTTTGTCGCACGGCCAAAAAGTTATTGTGACATTTACATAATATGTTTTCTATTATACATTTACACCCGTCAACACGCTATTATTGAAACTGTTGAAGTATTTAGAAAATGTAGTATACATATTAGGTAGGTTAGGGGGGAGCTGTAAATAGTAATAAAATCTTTTCTTGCTAAAAACTACTTTAAAAAAATATTCAATACAAATATTTGAGGTAATCTTATTGCAAAAATACAGTAAATTCGAAAATGCTAATTGTTTTTTATTTCACCTAATCTTACTGGGTTTTGAACATTACCACGTATCTTACACAAATATGTGTATAATATAAAATCGTTCGATAATACATATAAAAACAAATTATTATAAATTTGTATTGACGTTAAATAGTTTATTTTGTATTGTTTTTTTATTGTTATATTATCTACACAACTTTTGCCTTTAATAAAAATTTAAAAAAACTTTTAGGATTGACTCCCAGATGATAATGAATACTAACACACCTAAATAAACGCTATACATTTATCAAACTAAACAATAAAAACTGAAAGAAAAACATAATGTTGTTTAATGTTACAATAATACATAATAAACGAGAAAAATATTAACATTTGATCATTAACTTTAAGACTAAGCTAATATAGTATGTAAGCAAATATCAATAAAGCTTAGCGGATTTTCCTATAATTTCATATATATATATATCCATATGTGCCGTGTAATTGTGGAGACTTAAGTTCAAAACAATGTAATCCAGCAATTTCAGAACCATATATAAAGTTGTTTTAAATAATTATGTACTTAAATGTTTGTTTTTTTAGAGAGAACATTCTAAGGTATTACTACAATAACTAAAATACAAATTTTGAAAAGTATAAAAATATTTACTTACATTATTTTATGAATTATGTTCCATCATGTCCAACAAGGTTTTGAACAACTAATTTGAAGCACATATTCTTGCATTATATATGTAACTATTGTACATTCTCCATATTTAAAAAAAATGACGTTCTTTATTTTGTACAAATTTATAGTGTTGTTAAATTTTTTAGAAAAAAACAACACTTTTTAAATGATACATTGTTTGAAATATAGCCTATGATTCATCCAAAAACAAAAATAGATTAATTTTTATGAGGTTTTACAAAGATGATTCTAGAGTTTGCATTATAAAAATGTGAGTGTCCAAAATTATACTTAAAATCTGCTTGGTTCGACTTCCTCGAAAATACCTTTATTTATTCAATATTATTCTAGTTGCTTTTTAACTAAATTACACTTACACTTACTATTAACTAGTCCTTTTATTTAGTTTTAGTACTTTTAGAATTACTTTTTTTATTTGTTTGGTGTATCGTGTATACATATGCATGCCAATAATGAAATAGGTATATAAAATGTGGATGTCTTAGTAGAATTTGTTATTAAATATTTATAACATGTTTTAAAAATGTTAACAATCCAAGTCCCTACACCCTCTTTCCCCACGGTAAGCACACCCGTGACCTCGATTTACTTTGATGTGTAGCGTGTGAATTTGATTACTCCTCAGATGAATGTTTCAAACTTTATCAAGAGCCCATAATATGTGTTAAACATGCAGACATGCTAATGGTGAGCTGCATAAAGGATACCTAACGCACAAAAGCCTTACAAGAGAAATCGTACCATACGACAAATTCCACAATTTCATTGACTAATGGTAAATTTTGGAATATCCCACGTGACTACATCGCATCCAACTACGCTACGTTCGTTATTAGAAATTCCTTTTCTCAAATCTCTTCTGTCTCCTCATTCAAAACAGCCATTTCTTCTCCGTATACCTTCTCTTACTGCGCCTCACCTAAATACGTTCAAAATTACATTTTGGTGCTAAACGATTCTCCAAATTGTCTTTTTCGTGGTAGGTAAAATAAATAAATATAATACACACATGCATTATCTTTATATTTTGTATTATATTATTGAAATACATAGTGAAAGTTTCTGAAAGCTTATATAAAGACATAATATATAAATAATAATAATTTTCAAAATAGCCTATCAATAATCATAAGAATACGAATAGAAATAGTTTAGAAAATAAACCTATAGCAGGAAAAAATAAGAGAGGGTAGGCTTTAGTTATTTAAGCATGTTTAAAAAAAATAAGAAAATGAAATGGTAAATATATAAGAGAGATCAGGGTAGACTGAAAACAAGTATGGATGGATGCTATTAACGAAGACATAAAGGTTTTTCTTAAGTGGCCAAAGAAAATAGTCGTTTTAATTGGGGAGGATTTTCGGTAGCCAGTCTCACTTTCCTGAATAAGACGACGAAGAATATATTATATCTAAAAATATTTTATTGTAATACAATTATTTGCTCACTTGAAATTTTAAATACAATTATAATGACTTTAAAATGGGGTCTTCAATTATTATTTGATTCGTTTTTTAATACTTTCCTGGACGTATAGTACATATATTTTCGAATGCGATAAAGAAATAGAATAATATGCTAAAATAAATTATTTTAGTTTTCAAATTTATTTGAACTTATTCAACGATTACGGTAAGTATATAGGCAAATTTATCATATATTTTTTTTTATTTTGAGTATAAATAAATGTATGTATAAACGACCGACCAATTTGTCAACAACTAGCACGCAGTGAAGAGTGACATAGTTATCTTGTTTGAAAAATGAGTATTTTAAATCCTTAAAAAAACGTTTTCATGGTTCATTTACATTTAATGCCAATGACATACTCAATAGTGCTGAAAACGTAAGTATTCATCCCTGAAGAATAATGCGCAATACTAAATCGGACTCGCGGTTCATATTCCCGAGAAATATTAATGGTAACTCTTAAGTTTTGGACTCCAAAATATTATAACCGACAGTGAATACTATTTATTTAAAAAAAAAAAACTGTTTTAAGAAAAACAAAAAACAAAACAAATGATAATGTTGCACGAATTTTATAATATATAATTTCTATTGTATTAAGTTCAAGATAATAAATCATTCATATGATAAACGATAAAAGTTAACTTTTTATCATCTAGACAAAATATGTAATAACAGACGTCTATTGTAAAACATAAAATAAATGATTTGTTTAGTGTATCTAGATAATAGCTACATCTTAGACCAGTCTATATAATTACTTATACTGTCTATGTCACGTAGCCAGTGGCATAAATAAGTGGGCTTAAGGAGCTAAGTTTCCCTGAGTCGTATGAAGCACCCTCGAGATTTTTACCAGCTTACACAGTTCTCTAATATTAAATAAATATAGTTAAATAAATATATTAGTTTCTAATATTAATTTCAATATTTCTTTGTTAAACGCGTTGAATGTGTTTGCATGTAAACAAACGGCTTATGCGTGAAATACATAACTCAAATACGAAATCAATTGTTAAAAAAAGGTATTCGTCTCCACCCAACGGTGACTCATCCTTCAGTTTTCACACGTTGTTTTTAGATTCATAAAATA